CATTCACGAAGCAGCATCTGAAAATGCAGCCGGCAACGGAATATGCACAGGAGTGTGCTGAAGGGCACGCTTATTTGGGCAGGAAAGCAGTGTCACAGACACATGCATGCCACATTCCCCAGGTAAAAGCCCCTTCCAAGCAGTTTCCATTTTAAGAGGTAGGACTGTGATAGTCAAATCACGTAATCATGTGCATGGCTTTCTAAACTGAAAAGAAAAGCTCATTTTAAGGGCAAATGACCTATTTATCATTTTACTTAGAAAGGTTACTTACAGCGGCTGGGCATTTCCAGAAAGGGGTTTTCATTTTAGAGAAAGTATTTAAGGTAGCATCATGGAATTTCTCAGTTGCAAGAGACATCTGGGGCTCATGACAGTTCAGAGCTGAGTGAGATCAAATGATAGTTATCCCTCTGGGTCCTGGACAGTGTCATTGTAATACTGCTTCAGGATGTCACAGGAGCTCATTTTTCCATAGAGGTGTCAGTTTAAATTCTGTTTTCCCAAGTCAGAAGGCCAGAAAAGCCCCTGCGCCCTTTGACAGGTGTAAAGGAAGCACACCTTCTAGGCAAACTCTTCCCATAATGCAGCCTCGGCTCTAACCCCGTAAGAACCCCCTGCCCAGTCCTGGATCTCATTTCAGGGCCTCACAATAACTTGACCTGCATTTTACAGGAATGAATCGTCTGGACCCAGCTCACCGCATCAAGGCATGGTTTCACTAGATTTCTGTGTTTCAGAGAGCCCAGATACAGCACTGGGGGACCTGCTCCACAAAACCAAGGCCTTCTATTCACATTAGGTGGCCATCAGGTAGAAGAGGAACTGCCATACAGCTGAGGAGGTTGTTAAACTCTCAAAGTGAGATTGTTAAGAGCAAACAAGATGCCAGAACATAGCATGGTGCCAGAAAGAACTAATGGAGGTAAACCAAGCCCTCTTTTTAGGAACAACAATCTGACTACTTTGTTGTTTTTCCTTAACATTGTTTCTCTCAGTGGCCACACAACCCCTCCTGATCCTGCAGACTCAACACTTATGAGGAGTTACTGTGGACTTCTTCCTCTTCAGTTGCTACATCCCATCTGTCACCAATTCCAGCCAGCACCACTGCCACTGTATTTAAGACAAACTTTCCCCCAATACCAGTTCATTTTAGCTCCATATCCTGGCTCCCCAGGCCCCTGTGCTTATCTCAGAACTATGACGATAGAGTGCAGGTGCCTGCCTTCTCTATGAAAACAACTTGCCTTTTATGACTATTGTAGCGTTTGTCTCAACTAAAATTCATATTTTGACCTCTAATTGTAAAGTGCCTTGCATTTTGCTCTGCTTATTTCACAAGTCCTGTCCCCACCCCACCCCCAAATACAGTATTAGAAGCCCGTCAATAGAAGGACTAATACAGTACTAGTCAAACAGGGTTCCTGTGAGTGGATGGGTGTGTATGGTGAGTAGAGAGGGTAGACGGACAAAGGCCACATAGACACGGGTAGAGATCAATTCTCTAGGTGTATTGGATAGCAATATATTATTTTTTCAAAGCCATTTTTTTTCCCATTTAGCAGATACAATTGTTCTGCCTCTCCTCCCTAAGGCTTCAGAGAGGGTACAAACAAAACCTAGTAAATACCAATGTCAAAATAAAATATATTAAAGTCTGGATTTTGAGTACAACAACAACAACAACAAAGTGTGCCACACCCTCCCTCCTTTAAAGTAGAAATCAAGTGTTAGGGTCTAAGGACCATTTCAACATCACAGATAGGTTCCAGCCACAACTAAAACACTGACATTTAAATTTGTTTTGAATGAAAAGCAAATTTTTACTGGTTACACTGACATTAAAAGGAAATAATTCCAGTGCAGTAGCGGGCAAACACATTGGAGATGATGGTCTGAATTAGTGTGAATCACAACAAAGAGGCCTGTGAGTCACTACAAAATATTCTTAGAAGAAAGGTGGCATGATGTGCTGCTGTGACCCAGAGGACAACATGCTGGGCAGGAGCAAACCTCTGCACACAACCCCAGACTTGTATGCCACCACCTGGAGGTGGCAGGAATGCCTAGCGAAAGGTGACTGAAGTGATCAAGGGCCTGAGAAGCTGCCAGATGAGCATGAATCAGAGAACAGCCAAGGGATTAAGAGCAAAGCCACCAAATCACAGGTTGTATGAATGGAACACAATTTCCCTAAATGGGATTCTTGGAACACTTGTCCTAACTTTTTCCTTGGTCAAAATAAGTTTTGGGATCTTGTTATGCAGTAAAGAAACTTTATTTTAACGCTTCCCAAATTTATTTGACTAGAGAACATTTTTCTGCATATGATACTTGTTCACAAAATTCAGGACCCCTTGGACTAAGATAACGTCTTAAAACCTCAAGATAAACTTAGATACAAGGTGCAGTACAATACACAGAATATAGACCTGTTCCACTCAACTCAAGGGATACTACCAGCTGCATATTCAAATAGATTTAAAAAAAGTTTTTATGTAGCTTTATTACCCATGAATGCACTAAAAGAGATTGTTCCCACGGGAGTTACCTTGATGCCACGGCCAGGGACCACACTGGTGGAGATACACTGTATCTTAGGCATTTTGTAAACTGTTTTAAATAGATGATAGACAACACAGATGGGCCTCCCTAGGTAGATTAAGTAAAACCGTAATTTTTCCTTTACAGAATGAATTATTTTGTGTCTTAGAAAAGTATAATTTGGTTTAATTTCCAGGTGTTTGAACAGTTTTTAAACATTAATCAGTTGAATACATTTATTTTATTTGAAGTCAATTAATAAACTCATGTAATTACAATGAGTGAAGTTACCAAGAACGCAAGCCCTGAAGTCAGCCCAGCCTGTGTATGAATGCTGACTTTGCCACTTACTAGTTCTGTGACCTCGGACAAGTTAACCTCTGTACACCTCAGTTTTCTAACATGTAAAATGAGAATTAAAGAACATACTGATCACAATTGTCAACACTTTCTTAGCACTTCCTATATGATTTATATATATTGACACTTTTAATCTTCACACAATCACCCGATTAGATAGATGCTATTATAACCCCCACTTAAAGATGAGAAAGTAAGGCACAGAGAAGTTAGGTAACTTGCATGAGGTAACACAGCTAGGAAGTTGCAGAGGGTAATTCCAATTGGGGCAGTTTATACATACAAGATATATAAATGCTTAGTAGAGTGTCTAGCACATAATAAGCTTGCCATAAATGTTAATAGGGCTTTTTCTTGTACTCCAATGAAACGTTTAGAGTTGTAAAATGTGGCCATGAGCAATATAAAAGTTTGAAAATATCAGTCTGGAATATGAAACTAACACCAACCAGAGACAAAGGTGTTTTTCTTCTCGAAGGTGACTAAAAATGCTTATAAATGTAAAACATACCATCACAAAACATAATAATAAGAGCACCATCAGGGCTGGGCACACTAGCCACGCACAGCAATTGAAAATAGTAGATGATGTAAAACTAAAACTGAAGCTTAAGAGAAAAGTTAGATGGGTCCAATGTAATTACACACTTGCAATTTTGCCCACGGTTCATCGTTATCAAAATTAATCATGGAAGGATGTACAATGTGGTTCTTAAGCATTAGGTCAAAATAAAGGTTGCTGGCATGTGTAATATTAGAGATAGGGCCCACATCCAGTGGAACTATTTATGGGGAGCCTTGGGTTGGAACTGACTTGGGAGAAAAGAGCAAAGCATCAACACCTCTTCAGGTAGCACCGTGGGCACGTTCCCTTTCCAGTACTGGCTTCAAAACCACACAGGGCATAGAAAAGCAGATTCAACACAGCCATAAACTGATGGGCTGTGGATGCAGCCCATATATTTTCCTTTGATTTAGAATCATTCCTGAAATCCACGTGTACTTCCTAACCTTGGGAGTTGGAAGATCTGTACTTTCACCTATTGCACGTTTGTTATACGTCCAAAGAAAATTACTTTTACACGTAATTTCACCATGTCTGATATCATCGAGACAGGGACGGTCAGGGAAACTTGTATCGTGCATCTCTGCTGCGATACATCCGACCTTGAATAAAAACTGAAGTTCCCCATTCCCCTTCCCTGTCTCCAACAAATCGATACCTAAAAGCCTTTACAGAAAGTAGCAGCAGGCAAGCTTAAGAGTGATACTTTTCAGATACAGTATAGCACTGTTTCTGCCAAGAGGTTACTCACATGAATATAATGTTTCTTGGGCTAATTAATCCGCCTCGAGAGCAGCGAGGCTAAAACTTCAGGTCACCCACCCCGGGCCACTCAAGCCGGGATCGGGACGTGAGCCCGGGGCGAGCCGAGGGGCATTCGGGCCGAGGTCACCCGAAGCGAAGTGGTACGGCACGGGCCGGCAACCGGAAGTGGTCCAAGGAAAGAGAGTTGTACAAAATTCTGGGGCCCTAACTTGGAAACAAAACAAAATAAAACAAAACCTGAACTTCGGACCGAATCTCAAAGGAGAGGCCCCTCGGTAAAGAGGTCGGCGCGCGCGGCGATGCCGCCTCAGAGGGAGGTCCCCGGAGCGTGTAGGCCGCGCAGGGCTCTTCTCAGCGGGCGGGCAAAATGGGCGCCGACGCTCGGGAGGCGCCAGCCCGGCCGCCCGGCGCCGCTCAGCCACGTCCGCCGTGCGGCCCGAGACGCACCGCCTCCTCCGCCGCCCCCGTGCCGCCCGGCCTCGGACCGTCCCGGCTCGGAC